CCTACGCCATGATTGTAACACTCCTGAAGCCTCCCCAGAAGCTGAGCAGGGGTCAGTGCCATGCTTCCTGTGAAGCTTGCAGAACCATGAGTCAATTAAACCTCTTTTCCTTATAAATTACCTAGTCTCAGGTATTTCTTTATAGCAATTCATGAGCAGAGTAATACATGGGGTTATGTGGAATTTTGATAAAACCATAACAAATCAGGCTAATTGTCATATCCACCACCTCAAGTATTTATCATTTCTTTGTGTTAGGGGCTTTCCAATTCCACTCTCTTAATTATGTGGAAATATGCAATAAGCTATTCTTAACTATAGTCACTCTATTGTGTTATCAAACACTAGACCTTATTCCTTCTTTATAGGTGCTTTTGTACCTGTTAAGCACCTCCTCTTTATCCTCCTTCTCTACCACCATTCCCAGCCTCTGGTAACCATCATTCTACTCTCTATTTCCATAAATTTACATTTTTTTAAAGCTCTCACATGACAGTGAGAACATAAAATACATTTATTTTCTGCTATTACAAATAATGCTTTAAAGGAATTTATTGTACTTGTTTTCCTGTGCATGTGTGTGTGAAATTTTCCAGAGTATATACTACTGAGAAATGAAATTGCTGGCTTGAAGAATATGTGAATCTTTATAGTAGTACTACACATTGTCAAAGTTCTTTCAAATTTGACTATAATAATTTACATTTCTATCAAGTGTTTGAAATTTTCCTTTGCTGCATATCTTAGCCAAGATTTGGTCTTGTTCAACTTCATGTCATTTTTTTCCAATCCAGTGATTGTAAAAGTTATCTTATTGGTTTCATTTTCATTACTCTGGTTACCACTATTAGTAAGATTGATCATTGTTTTTATATTTAATAATTATTTTGTCTTCCCTTCTGCAAATTGGCAGTTCATATTCTTTACTATTTTGTTCTAGTAGATTGTCTTTTGAAATTGATTTATAGGAATTCTTAGAAAGTCTGTATTCTAATTATTTGTTGGCAATATGCTTCACAAATATCTTCTCACAACATTATTTGTATTTTTATTTTTGTTGTGTATATTATTAAACTGAAGTTTTAATTTTAAAAGTCAAATTTATTAATTTTTTTCCATTATGGCCCACTCTTTTTCTGCTGTATTTTTAACAGTATTTTCTTCACTTTGGGAGGCCGAGGTGGTCAGATCATAAGGTCAGCAGTTCGAGACCACCCTGGCCAACATGGTGAAACCCTATCCCTACTAAAAATACAAAAAAAAAAAAAAATTAGCCAGGCATGCTGGCAGGCACCTGTAATCCCAGTTACTCAGGAGGCTGAGGAAGAAGAATTTCCTGAACCCAGGAAGTTGAGGTTGCAGTGAGCCAAGATCGCACCACTGCACTCCAGCCTGGGTGACAGAGAAACTCTGTCTTGACTCTGTCTCAGGGGAAAAAAATCGTTCTTACAGCTTGGTGATAAAGATATATCCTTTATTTTCTTCAAGGTTTTAAGATTTGCATTAAAATAAATCTAATGAGTACTTATGTTTTGCACACATTGTAAGTTAAGCATCAAAATTTATTTTTAAATATGGAAAAAGAGTCATCTTAGAACCATATATTTGAAGCAGATCCTATCTCTGCTACTTTTAATGTTACCTCTGCCATTTATTGTTTCTATATTTATGCAGATCTGTTTCTAGGCTGCATATTCTTATTTCATTGGTCTATAATATGAATGTCATTTTATATAAATTATTATGACTTTATAAATGTCTCAATCCCTTTAACTTTATAAATATTTTAATCTCTAAGAAAATTTAGAAGAAGCACAAAAAGATACTTCGTGGAAGACAAGGATGCCCTCTCTCACTACTCCTATTCAACGTGGTATTGTAAGTTCTAGGCAGGGCAGTCAGGCAAGAGAAGGAAATAAAAGGTATTCAAATAGGAAGAGAGGAAGTCAAATTGTCTCTGTTTGCAGATGACATAATTGTATATTTAGAAAACCCTATCATCTCAGCCCCAAATCTCCTTAAGCTGATAAGCAATTTTAGCAAAGTCTCAGGATACAAAATCAATATGCAAAAATCACAAACATTTCTATTCACTAATAATAGACAAACAGAGAGCCAAATCATGAATGAACTCCCATTCACAATTGCTACAAAGAAAATTAAATACCTAGGAATACAACTTACAAGGGATGTGAAGGACCTCTTCAAGGAAATGACAAACCACAGCTCAAGGAAATAAGAGAGGACACAAACAAATGGAAAAACATTCCATACTTATGATAGGAATAATCAATATTGTGAAAATGGCCATACTGCCCAAAGTAATTTATAGACTCAATGCTATTCCCATCAAGCTACCATTGACTTTCTTCACAGAATTAGAAAGAAACTACTTTAAATCTCACATGGAACAAAAAAAAGAGCCCACATAGCCAAGAAAATCCTAGGCAAAAAGAACAAAGCTGAAGCAACATACTACCTGACTTCAAACTATACTGTAACCCACGGTACCAAAACAGCATGGTACTGGTACCAAAACAGATATATAGATTAATGGAACAGAACAGAAGCCTCAGAAATAACACCACACATCTATAACCATCGGATCTTTGATGAACCTGACAAAAACAAAAAATGGGGGAAGGATTCTCTGTTTAATAAATGGTGTTGGGAATACTGGCTAGCCATATACAGAAAGATGAAATTGGACCCATTCCTTACACCTTATACAAAAATTAACTCAAGATTGATTAAAGACTTAAATGTAAGACATAACACCATAAAAACCTTAGAAGAAAACCTAGGCAATAAAATTCATGACATAGGCATGGGCAAAGACTTCACGGCAACAAGAGCCAAAATTGACAAATGAGATCTAATTAAACTTAACAGCTTCTGCACAGCAAAAGGAACTATCTTCAGAGTGAATAGGTAACTTACAGAATGGGAGAGAATTGTTGCAATCTATCTATCTGACAAAGGGCTCATATCCAGAATCTACAAATAACTTAAACAAATTTACAAGAAGAAAACAACCCCATCAAAAAGTGGGTGAAGGATATGAACAGACATTTCTCAAAAGAAGATATTTATGCAGCCAACAAACATATGCAAATGTTTGGTCTAATGACCACCATCGTCACTGGTCATTAGAGAAATGCAAATCAAAACCACAGTGAGATACCATCTCATGCCAGTTAGAATGGTTATCATTAAAAAGTCAGGAAACAACAGATGGTAGAGAGGATGTGGAGAGATAGGAATGCTTTTACACTGTTGGTGGAAGTGTAAATTAGTTCAACCATTGTGGAAGACAGTGGTGATTCCTCAAGGATCTAGAACCAGAAATACAATTTGACCCGGCAATTGCATTACTGGGTATATACCCAAAGGATTATAAATCATGTTACTATAAAGACACATGCACATGTATGTTTATTGTGGCACTATTCACAATGGCAAAGACTTGGAAGCAACTCAAATGTCCATCAGTGATAGACTGAATAAAGCACATGTAGCACATATACACCATGGAATACTATGCAGCCATAAAAAAATGAGTTCATGTCCTTTACAGGAACATGGATGAAGCTGGAAACCATCATTCTCAGCAAACTAATAAAAGAACAGAAAGCCAAACACCTCATGTTCTTACTCACAAGTATAAGTTGAACAATGAGAACACATGGCCACAGAGAGGGAAATATCACACACTGGGGCCTGTCAGCGGGGTGGGAGTCTAGGGGAGGGATCGCATTAGGAGAAATAGCTAATATAGATGATGGGTTCACAGGTAAAGCAAACCACCATGGCACGTGTATATGTATATGACAAACCTGCATGTTCTGCACATGTACCCCAGAACGTAAAGTTAAAAAAAAAAGATACTTCACTCTTCTTAATTGTCTTAATTATTCTTAAGCATTTGTTCTACTAAAGAAATTTTAGAATCAGCTTGTGAAGTCTGATAAAAGCCTCTTATTGGGAGGTTCATTGAAATGAAATTGGATTTTTAAATTATTGATAGAAAAATTGCTATTTTTATATCCATTAATAATGTGATATTATTCAGGTCATTTTTCTGGCCTTATATAATATTTAATAATTTTCTCTTTCATAATTATCTTGAACATATTTTGTTATGTTTATTTCTGCATACATTGTAGTATTTTGACTGGGATCTTTTCCTATTACATTTTCTAATTGATTAATTACTTAGGTATATGAAGGTTACTAATTTTTTTAAGTTAATCTCTTGAGTCTAGCAATCTTGGTGATCTCTCTTAGTAGTTTTATTACTATGTCTACAAATTCTTTTAAGGTTTCTAAGTATATAATCATACTGCTGACAAATTAGTGTATTTGGCCTCTTCCTTTCAAATGCTGGTACATTTTTCTCCCCTCTTGTCTTGTTTGATTGGCTAGGACCAACAAAATAATGTTGTGAGAAGCAATTATAGCAGATATCTTTACCTTGCTTTAGTTTCAGTGGGAAAACTTCTAAAATCTAACCATTTTGTATGTTTATGCAGATTTTTTTAAAGACTACATTTAATCAAATTAAGGAAGTTCCCATCTATTTTGATTTTCTTTTTAAAAATTATTTTACTTTAAGTTCTGGATACAAGTGCAGAATGTGTAGGTTTATACATAGGTATACATGTGCCACAATTATTTTGATTTACATAATGACTGAGGGTAAAATTATATTGAATGCCTTCTCTGCATCCATTGAAATCATCATGTATTTTATTCTCCTTTTATCTGCTAAGGTGGCATGTTTTAATTGATTGAATTTCTGAACTTAAATTCTGTGATAAACCCCTCCTACCTGTGTCTTTTTCTAAATTACATTGTGACATGGTTTCACTCTGTGTCTTCACCCAAATCTCACCTACAATCATAATCTCCAAGTGTCCAGGCACCTGGTGGGAGCTGATTGGAACATGGTGTCAGTTTCCCCTTTAATGTTCTCATGATAGTGAGTGAATTCTTTCCAGGGCTGATGGTTTAAAAGTGTGTGGCAGTTCCACCCCCAACTCCTGCCGTCATGTGAGACATACCTGGCTTCCTCTTCCCCTTCTGGTATGATGGTAAGTTTCCTCCGCAGTCATGCAGAATTGTGAGTCAATTAAATCTTTTTTTCTCTATAAATTATCCAGTCTCAGGTAGTTCCTTGTAGCAGTGTGAAAATAAACTAATATAGACTGAAACCTATTTAAGATTGTTTTCATCAATGTTTCCGACTGATACTGATCAGTAATCTTATTTTCTTATCATATCTTTGTCCAGTTTTGTTAGTTAGACCATCTATTCTCTCAAACACTTTGTAAAAGAAAGGATTTGATAAAACTTCTCTGTAGCAAAATATGTATATGTCGTATTTTGAATGAAATAATATGATTTTTAAAAGCCTCATTATTTTATATAAGATATTTCTAGTTGTATACCCAATATCATTCTCCCTTCTTTCTTGTTGAGAGAACCCTGATTTGACATATATTTGTTTTGGGGGTATTCTTACTTTCATGATGAGTTCTGAATATATAATAATGATGTACTTTAGTATATAAACAATTACTCCCTTATCTTCCCTCCTAAGAATTTTCTGTTTGCACCTGTCCCTGCCACCACCACATGCACATGTCTCAGTCCACTACCTGTTCTTGTGTGTGTATTTCAGGGCTCCTGCTCTGCTGCAATAGCTGAGATAATGCAAATCCCAGTACAGAGTCAGAGGGCCAGCTAGCCCAGTTCTTGGTCATGAGGCTATGGCTTTTTCCTCCTGCGTGGCCAAAGCTTTAATGAAGATATAGTCAGGGCAACAAGCCAACAGTAATCATTTTCACTCTCCTTGTAGGCATGAGAGCCCCAGACAAGCCTTTCGGTAAGTGAGTCCAGCTCAGAACTGTTAGTCTTACTCCTCTGTAGGAGCCCAAAGCCTTATTGCCACTCCCAGCCCAGATCCTGGCAAGCCCAGGTACCAGCTCTGCTTATTACTTTGTGTCTTTTTGTTATATTTGAATGTGTTCATGTGTGTTGGAAACTTGAGAAGTGGGAACTCTCAAAGGTGATTAGGTCATGAGGGCTCTGCACGCCTCCTGCATGACACTGTGGGAGGTATTATATGGTGAGGAAACATGCGAGAGCTGAGTTCATCCTTCATAAGGACATTTCTCCCATGATAGATTAATGACATTGATCTATTCATGAGTGCAGAGCCCTGGTGAATAGATTAATGTCATCATCAAGGGAGTAATGTCCTTATGAAGGAGGAGTTCAGCTCTCACATTTCCTCACCATGTGATGCCTCCTGCTATGTCATGACACAACAGGAAGGCCCTCACCAGATGCGTCCCCTCAATCTTGGACTTCCCAGCCCCCAGAGTCATAAGTAAAATAAATTTCTGTTCATTAATCTGTGGTACTCTAACAGCAGTCTAAAATGGGCTTTTAAATTTTTTGCCTCAAAATGTTTACCTAGTTTGGGGGGTGTCTAGTCATGTTTTCTGCTTATCTGTTTCTGTATTTTATTTATTTCCACAGGCTTGAAACAAAGTGTGTAAATTTTCCATGGTCTGGTGGCAAATTTACTATCAGCTCTGCGGGAAGTGATTTTCAAATATTCATTAGAATAAACAAAGTAACAAAATTTCTAAGTAAGCTAAGAAACCTAATAAAATATGTATTATGGCTCATTTTCTTCCAGAAATTTATTGTTTAAGCATTCACCTACCCTAGGCAGAAGGATTTGGAGGTCCCAGTCACCAAAAAGGATGTTGTAACTAATAATGCTAGTAATTTTCTCTATTAAATAGGCTATATATTACTGCACATTGAAATATACATTAACTATGTAATAGGATGAACATGAAAAAGTTCTAGTTTTGAAGCCCCAACTTAACTAAATACAAGAATGGATAGCTTCTGTTCTTAGTTTCATGAAAGTTAGAAAGGTTGAACTTATATTTTTCAAGGAGCAGATACTCGATACATGTACCATGTTGACTCAAGCCCATAGAAAACACATGGGCACTTTGGCTTCCGAAAATGGATACCAGAGATTTCAACTTCCCTCACTAATGCCTTAGAATTCCAGGGAAGTGTAACTCTAAAAGGAAGACATGGCTTCTTTTTGAGTTACAATTCCCTGGAATTCTAAAGAATCTCTGGCTATTACTGCCAAGTCTTTATTAATATGTCCCACAGAATTACTGGTTTTCCAGTAAAGTTTATAATATGCTATTCTTCAAGAAAGATCTCAGGTTGGAAAAATCCCTCATATCAGAAATGTTTGCAAACATTATATGCTACTTTAAAATTTCCAGTTTCAGAGACTGGCGCTATAAACATCTGTAGAGATATTCTAGTCCAGTTTCCTTATTGCACAGATGAATAAACTGAGGGCTGAAAGGGTGACTTTTTTCTCATCATGGGTCCAAAACCAATGTCTTGATATCCAGTTCATCATTCTTTCCATGGCACACTTCAGGCTTCTACATTCTTAAGAAAGTAACTAAGATAATTTCATCTGGTTGAGGCCGTGGGGCTTTCCCAGAGAAGGTAGGGCAATGTCCCATGAAATGAGACCAGTAGGCTGAGTTCCCAAAATGTGTGACCTTTAGAGCTCTGGGCATCCAGGGATCAGGTCTGCCACTTTGTGTGCTTCAACAGTGGCAATCAGCACCAGGTTTCCCTCTTTCCATTCCACTTTAAGACCTGGGGGTTCTCTCCAGTTCTCCAGTTACTTTGCCTACATAACTATTTGACAACATGTGCTCTGACACGTCTTCTTTTTAACACCTACTATTGGGACTTCCTTTCTGCTGAGGTAATTCTCCATAGCTTTGAGGTCTGCTACCCAAGGTAAAAAAGCCTATTTGTTTCTTTCTAACTTGCTGGTATGGTTGCCTCAATTTAGCACTTTGTTTCATTATTATTTAACTGTCAAATACAAATTGTATATATTTATGTGTATACATAGTGGAATGACTAAAGTCCAGCAAATTAACATATATATCAATCACATCACATGTTTATGATTTTCTTAGGGGGTGCAAACACCTAAAGTCCACTCTCTTAGCAATTTTTAAGTACAATTTATAGAGCTGTAGTCACCATGATATACAATATATTTCTTGTCTGTGGAATTTTGTGTCCTTTGACCAACATCTCCCAATCTCCCTACACCCATAGCACTTCATTTTAAATGCATAGATATGACCTATTTTTCTAAAAACAATAGTTGTTTCATAATGGTGCTGTTACATTGTATTACTGAAAGGATATTACCACATTCATTACCAAAAATAATAAAAGGCATTTATTGCCTGATAATAGCCACTCCCTCATATACCCAGTGGCATGGTTATATAAATTAATACAGATTACACCCTTAATTAATTTTGCCACTGAATATCCACAGAGAAAAAGAAAGCTTAAGGGTAAAAATATATAGTCATTTTGAAGTACTTCAGAATCACTGTCTTCTTAAAATATTTCCAAATACTAAAGGAAATAGTAGACATTACTAAAGTCATGGCTATATTCTGAGCATACATATATTTGGAGAAAGAATTATCTATGCTTAGGCGTATAGGCATTAATTTACTAAATGGGAGGAAGTTTTCTTAGTGAAAGCCTACTTTAAGGCCTGAATTGTTCAGTATTATTTCTTATATGGTCATATTTAGCTGGAATTTTTTTTCCAAATTTCCACTCTGATTCACTGTGACAATACACTGCATGAGCCATATAAAATGACATATAATGTTTTTAAATTTTTGTTCCAGTGTTTTAAATTTTTTGGATAATGCTATGAGTTGAATTATTTTAAAAATTAGTTGGCTCATGCCTCTGCTAAGGAAAGATGAAACAATGATACCACCTGAGGAGGTTTAATTTTATAGTCCACAACTGAACTTTCATTTTCAGATATGACGTGTGGCATTTATAGTATGAAGTTAAGAACAAAAATTAAAAATGCTTCTGTTTGACGACTACTATTTGCACTTCCCTTCTGCTGAGGTCACTCTCCATGGCTTTGAGGTCTGCTTTCCAAGGTAAAAAGGATCTTTGTTTCTTTCTAAAGTGTTGGTAGTGGTTGTCTCCATTCAGCACTTCGTTTTATTATTTTTTAACTGCCAAATAAATAAACAATGACAGTGTAGCAGTCCATACTAGAAATTATTCCATGTATGCGAATAAAAACTTTCTGTGAGAATTTTTAAAAAGCTGTTTTGAGATCTCTTTATACATGTGACAGTACACCACACTCAGATGGATATCTTCACCTTCGGTTTGTTATTGCTGTGGTCTCCTTTTAATCCCTTCAGCATCCTGCTGAAATCAAGTTTATAAACAGAAGTTTGAAAATGGATCAACACCTACACTGTCAAATATCTAAGCCAACAGTTTAAATCCTTTAGTTTATTCCATTTTCTAAATCTTTAAATTCCTTTGTATCTCTATATCTTACAAAAGTAGTTCCACAAATATGTTAGTTATGAGGCTTTCTCCAAACTGTTTTTAAAGAAAAGCAAATTATAGCATCAGAAATTATAGGCAACTAGAGCTACTTTTCCAGGCAAAGTGAAGATGAATGGCAACTTCTTCCTATTAAAAAATAATTGATGTATGCTCTCTGACTTAGCTATCCAAGTAAATCTTATATAATGTAAATTTCCCTCTAATTTTCTCTCTCTTGTAAAAAGTATGACAAGGAAAAATATTTGACATATATCTATTTCAAGTGTTCCTTATTTGCTATTTGTATGTTATCATTTTTAAAGGATTGGGTCATAGGAATTGAATTTGTATAATCTTATCTTTATATAACCATTTCATAGAGACTCATTAAAAAGAGCTCATTTCTAAAAGGGGAATATGGTTTTAGTTATATTTCTCAGTCTTAGAAATGGGCACCAACATTAACATAAATACAAGATAGACTAAATTAAAAAGATAATTGTTTCACCAAAGCTAAAGTTGACATGTACATAACATAAAAATAGGGTTTAAATATGTAAAGAAGGAAAAGTTCAACATTCTTTTAATAATCAACTATATGTCAATACAAGTAGCTTTATCTATTCATTTGAACTGATCATGGAAGATTTTTACTTGAAAGCACTGTTAAGAGCTACTCAAAGTTTGCATGAAAATAACAGAATCCTCTTTTTCTTCTTTTTTTTTCACGAAGTCAAACTGTAATTCCTCTCTATTCCTCACTTTTTAGTGAGATTTCAAAATATATGGCTTTCTCTATTTCCCCCTTTTTTTCTTTAAAATTAAATCACCATTCAGTCTTTCCATTACTGGAGTACAATTCCTAAGTAGCAGATCATGCCCCAAAGCTCCAGCTTTTGCAGAAATGTTTTTAACTAATACTGTTAACAGCTTGAGTCCACAAAATCTCTGCTACTCTCCCAAACCCAAACACAACTCCTGTCAGCAAAACATGAAAAAATGAGTTTGTGGGGGAAAATCTATGAGGTTATCATTGCGTTTATCCCCTTTGGCTGGCAGAATAAGGCAGCACAAAATGCCAACTCATGATTTAAATAAAGCACTGGCAAGAAAGGGCCTGGCTGGCTGCAAGTCAGTACTCCAAACCAGTTCTATTCATATGTCTTTGCTAAGCAGTGTCTCTGCAGTTTTCAGAATAAGATGACACCAGTGATGGATAAATTCAGAGATAATTAAGTCAGTTAGTTTATGAAAGTAAGAGGTAAACTTTTCTGAAGAGAAAACAGGTATTTCATTGTGATGCTATCTTGAAACATTTACTCATGCTAAAGTAATTTCACTTATTAACTTTGAGACTAAAGGTGCCTTTATTTTCAGTTTTAGATACTGTTAGAATTGCAGAATAGAACTAGGATATTAAAAAGATATTTTAGTGGAATTTACTTTTATATAGCTTCTTCCTAGCCGTTCAGTAAATTGTCATTAATTGATTATAAAGTGAAATTTATTTCAAAGACAAGTTTTGATATTCCCTCTGCCCAATTAGGGAGTTAAAAGTCAATTCTGCGCAATTAGGAATAGTTTACCTCACTGGGGTTTGAGGCCCAAATCCAGGGACATTTAACTGTTTTTCAGTCTCTTCTTGAGGAACAAGACTCCAAAGGGAAGGAAAGAGAGAATTTTCTTAGTGTTCTTTTCAACCTGTAGCCCATTCCCAAGGCTCTGAATCAAAATCTGACTTCTTGTTAGTGTGCTGACGGTTTGAATGGCTAGGAGAGTCAAATTTAACTGTGTTTTACTTTCCGCTTCAGCGGAAGAAACAAGAGGCAATCTCATGCGCTTGAGAAATTAACCCCCCTGTAAATGATAACGTTTTAGACACAGAAAAAAGAGGAAACATTCTCCAATCTTTGGGACGTGTTTTAAAACCTGTGCTGTTTGTTTTTCTTCCTTCACTGTGGATTTAGGGGAAAGAGAATGGTTTCCTGCCTAAATTCAGAATTGATGCTCACTGACCCAATTCCTTGTGTTCCTTCTAACTCCTGTGTAGTCCATACCCTCGCTTAGCTTCGGTAAGATTTTTATAAACTGTTTCAAGAAGGAGGAGATTGAGCAATGTGAACGGAAAGCAGCCTTGGGCTGCTAGAATAACGTTCTCTTCGTTTTCTTCGTTTAAGATATGCGAAATTGTTCTTCCTGTAATCCATTTCGAAAATAACT